ATGAACCTCCATTCGCTAAGAATATCTCTCTTGGGATTTAGAATCTCCAGGAGCTCCATCAATCCTATTACACGTGACATCTGTGTTGAGAGACACATTAGTCTCTCTAATAGGATGTTTCAGCTGTCGTGAAAGGTAGTACAAGCTAGATTACACATATCAGTCACTTAGGACATTTCAGAACAAAACTATAAATCTAAATTTAAATCCTAAAACTCCTAAACCTTAATCTTCCTTTATATTTCAAATCATTCACATGACATGTGCTAATTCTTTTCCTTATCCGTCATTCTACGGAAGGAAAAGAGTAAGTCAAACCCCTTTGTCATATCACACGCTTCTCTTCATCTTGTTATCACAGATCATCCTTTTCTTTTCTTTCTTTCTCTTTTCACATTAGCTAATACTATATATGAACCTTTTATTATTTGTTTCATCTGAATGGCAAAACTAGTTATAGATCACGTACTGAATGTGTCGATCTCTTTTCTCCTTATTATCTTTGACCAGATTCAACCTCATAGGTCAGATTAGATTTGACACTACAAACCAATCTCATTTTCTATTTTCTTCTGTTAACTCATATACTTTTACTTGTTTATCTATTCCTTTATTTCTGATCATGTAGGTTAGTGTCATCAGGTAGTATTAGTGACTCGAGGTGGAAGAGCTCACCTCTAGAAATCTGTCACGCGCATTCCGGTGAAATAACATCTGTCATTCTACGGAAGGAAAAGATTATAGATCACGTACTGAACGCGTCAATCTCTTTTCTCCTTATTATCTTTGACCTGATTCAACCTCATAGGTTAGTGTCATCAGGTAGTATTAGTGAGAGCATCCACAGTGGTGGGCTCCAAATCGGGGCTCCAAATCGAGCGAATTAAAATTTGGTGGGGCCCCAAATCAATCCAGATGCAGTCGTTCGGACTTCAAAAGTGTAGATTCTATGTGTTTACACACACTTTGAGATTGGTACACGTGGGCTTATATGTGTGAGGTATGCGATTGAACAAGTGCGGGAATTTGGAGCCCGGCTTTTTGTTGCCAAATATGTAGCCCAAAGCTCGAAATTTGAAGCCGGCTACAAAAAAATTTGGCGATGGGGACTGCCATTGCACCAAAAAATTGGGGCTCAGTCACCAAATTTGGCGATAGCCCCGATTTGGAGCCCACCACTGTGGATGCTCTGACTTGAGGTGGAAGAGCTCACCTCTAGAAATCTGTCACGGTCATTCAGAACTCTGTCACAGGCATGCAGATTCACCCTCATAGGGACATCAACTGATGGTCGCGTTT